ACGAGACTATCGGTTGTCCAAGACTATCGGATGAATTCTTATAAATGCCTATGATATATAACTTTTTTCGCGTGAAAGAGAAGAACTTGACAGCAAAATATCGATTCCATTTCTTATTTCGAAGTAAAAATGTAAACAAAAACATCAAAATTTATTAAATTTAGTAACTAATTCAATAATTACCCTACAGCAGAACTATTATTTTGAGAAAAATAATGTTAAAATGATAAATTATTATTTACAACAAAATTGAGCTAATGAAAAAATGGTTTTTATTATAAAAATTAAAAAATTTTAAGAAGCTGTCAAATTTTTTAATATACAAAGAAATGTGCAAATAATTTTCAATTTTATTCTTTTGCTTTTTAATCCAGCAATTGTGGATTTCCAAATATTATATAAGTACTATTGCCAAATTTCTAATATTCTCATCGCTTTCTAATTTCTTAAGTGTTTCTAATTTTGTTTCAATAATTAACACGTAAATATTTCGATGTTAAGCTTTGAACCATGTAATACATATATATCTATTACGTGAACATCAATTCTAAAATTAAATTCTAAATTCTATTTTCATTGGTGTGATAAGAAAAAGCATTTTATTATTGTACATAGAAATAATAAATAGATATTCGATTAATAAAGATTTTATTGTAGTCCAAAAATAAAGATGAATAAAAATCAACAAATTTCTTGTATTTTGACATATATATATAAATAATATATAAAAAGAAAAAAAAGTGGAAAGTAGAAGATTTACAGTAAGATTCTTCTAAAAAGGTGTCGCTAGCACTTGCATCGTTCTCGCGACTTTATCGCTAACGCGCCAAAGAAAACCGAGCTATGAGAAGCTGTCAGCAGAGGGAACGAGGAGTTAGTGGATAGAGTGTGAATCAAAAGAAGTGGGGATAGTGAGAATGCTGCAAGCACGCTAGTAACTTCGGTCGGTCGTGAAAGTGCCGTAAGTCACGTTTTAACGAGCGCCCGATTTATACCGTCGCCGTTCCACTAACCTCGCAACGTCGACACGCTCTCGTACGAAAAAGCTGCTAAATTGACGCGTACGGAATTCGAGAATAAATATCGTCGATCATTTCGAATCGATATCGTAGTGCGTTTCATCCATTTCTGTGTCGTTTCGATAGATTATAATAGGAAATAGATATAGTTAAGATCGATGTGTTTACGAATTATTCGCATTTAACAAATTTATTTGGATTAACCAATATAATGATCGAATTTTTATTATTCATGTTTATTCCATCTGCGACGAGTGTAATAGTCATATATTTTAACATTAAATGATAATCCAGGCAAAAGATTTACTTATTTATAAAAGGATATTTATTCTTGGATTTTTCTTTCGAAATTATAATTTTAGAGAATCTATTGATTATCTCAAATTTACAGTTGAGAAACTCATTCCTTATTCGAATAGGTATATATATATATATATAGTTATTATTTTATCTGTCTATATTTGCACGAGATTTGTTGGTTTCATTTTCATTTAAAATTATTAAATTGTTCATCGATTTACTTTCGAAGTGAATCGCATTTTTTCTTCGGTTATGCTTCATTCGTATTCCGGGAGAATCACGAGCATACTTTGTTCCCACCATTGGTAAACGCACGTGTTCGCGTAGATATGCAAATCGATATTGCCCGCGTCGCTATGTAGCATCTAATTGTCTGTCATAAGCATATAATCGTGTTCTCCGTGCAGGTTTCTGTACATGTTTTAACCTGCTTGTGTACGTAATGTACGTATGCCTATCCGTACGTGTTAGACATATCTGTTATGCCTGCATTTACTAATCGCACGTTATATTTGTATCTGTGTATGATTATAGGAATTTCTGGATGTACGAGCAATGAATTTTGTAGCGGTAATCAAAATCACATAAATGATCTTTTAGGAACAATAAAAAAAAAATAACAATAAAATGACACGTTTACAAAAAATGTTTAAACATAATTTATTAATTTTAAGGTATGATTGGTAAATTATTTTTTAAGTAATAAATTAATTCGATATATTTACTTATTTCAAATTATTACGTGAAATAATGAGAATATATGTATTTGTTTCTGTTGTTAAAAATAAAAATACAAACAATTTATATTATATATTATAATTTAGTATGAAGAATCGCCAATTTCTTATAATTAAAGACGAGGCTTTGAATCATGTAATACGCGATCTGTATATAAACGTGTTTACCCGTATCTAGATGCATTCACATGTATTTCGCATTTCAGGCGTACGAGGTGACAGTTTTCGTCGCAATAACAAGGTAACAAACTTTTAATGAACGTGTTCTACGCATTATTCGTAAGTACGCGTATTATTTTCATGCAAATGTCAGTAAAGTGTCGTACGAGTAACATAAATAGCATTTGGATGAGCGATCAATCAAAACTGTCGTAAATTTCTATTCACTTCTTTCTCCGTTAGTTGTTACTTTCAGATGCTTCAGAAAGCTTTCTTTTATTGTAATGGAATAATATACACATGTACACTTAAATACATTATACGTAATTTATTACTTATTTTATTAGTAGTATTTTAAAACAATTTATAAAAGAATTTTGTTACAAAAGATAACATAAGAGAATATATCTTCAATAAAAAAAATTAATATAATAATAATAATAATAATAATAATAATAATAATAATAATAATATAATACATATGTGAAATTTATATAATATATAATAAAACTTGATTTATACATGAATATACATGAATACATGAAATTTTAATTATTAGACTAGGTTATATTGAATTAATTCTAATTAAGTTTCTATTGTTTGAATAACTATCAAATAACATTTCATGTATATGAATATTTTTATAATATATTTAATATATAATTGAAAATATCTTACATTAATTATTCGAATTATAATTTTATATCAAAGTTTATACATCTTAATACCGTCTAGTAAATATAAATTTTCACTTAATCAATTGAATTTTATTATATAATCAAATTTTCTTTTAAATAATACAGATAGCGCAAAGAATTAGATAGCAATAGAATAGATTCTAAAACAAATTAAAATACATCGATTGCTATGCTTCATGCATTCAATAAATTAATTAAACAAGATAAAAATTTATAAATTGAAATTATTAGTTGTAATATTTTCACATTTGCAAATCGTTATATGTTTTTTTTTTAAATGTAAGAAAGAGAAGGAATTATAAAACTTTAAAATTATAACAATTGTAAGAATAATAAAAATTAAAATTTTTTAAATAACTTAATAATATTAATTCTATAAATAATATTGATTTTTAATATTAATAATTTTATTGTTAATTATTAATATCCAATTTATTCCAATTCCAAATTATTATTATCCATTTCAAACTACTTTATAATATTATAATTACATTTGTACAACTTATTCCTTAAATTAATAATATATTTAACTAAGTTAATAATATCTTTAAAATGAATGTAAAATGATAATTAGAAAATTTTAATATATAATTTAAAGAATAATACTTTAAAATAATAAATTATATTAAATAGTAGTAAATTATTAGATATAAATTAACAATAAAAATCTAAAAATTATGTAGATAAAATTATTAATCAATTATATTGGTATCATCATCTTGAAGATATATATTATATATTATTTGAAAATATATTTAAATTCTTTGCATTAAAAATTCAAACGTATTGTAATTTTGAAACAGAAATGATAAAAGCGTGTTTAATTGATATCCTATATGTTTACGCGCCGAGTAAATATAGACAAGGAAAAGAAATAATGAGAAAAGGATAGAGATAGTTTAAAAATTGTGACATCAGCGCCATCTCCTGAGTGGCGCAAATGAAACATGTAAAGGATAGTAAATGAGAAGAGAAGGACAGAAATAAAGTAGGAATTGATCAATAGTGCCATCTCTTGATTATTTTTAGAAAAAAATTGATACTCGATAGATGGCGCTGATTTTGAATTCTTACTCTATCTTATCCTACTTTTGAAAAAATATTTTACTCAAAAAATGGCGCTACCGGTCAATTCCTACCTTATCTCTATCCTTTTCTTCTTATTTGCTATCCTTTCTTTATGTGTTTCATTTGCGCCATTCAGGAGATGGCGCTGATGTCACAATTTTTAACTATCTTTATCCTTCTCTTATTATTTCTTTCTTTGTCTATATTTGCTTTACAAAATTTATATACTTAAAAGACGATTCTGATGGCTAATTAATTTTATCATTTTTTTCATGACTTCGATATTTTATTTATACTGCATAAATATCAAAATTTACAATTGCATTTATAATTGCAATACATATAAATAAATTTAATTAAATTTAATATAAATTTAATTTTAATAATTCTATGTTTAAATCCATTTTCATAAAAAAATCTAATAATTCGATATTGTTTTCATTGTGTTATAATAAAAAATATGAGCATTTTAATTTATAAATAGTTTAACTCATGAGTCCATCCATTATTCATATTAGTTAAAAGATCTATAAATGTAATTAATATAATATATGAAAGTATATATAAAAGAATACTTTTAACAAAAAAAAATTATTTTTAATTGTTTCTAAAATCTTTATTGAGTTAATTAATTTTTGTGATTAAATTAAATATAATTATTGTACTATCGTTTTAAAGGCATAATAAATATTCTGATTTTTTGCTCACAAAATGACAACACAAAGTCTTATAAAATAATAGATTTATTCTGCATTCTATGTATTCTATACAATTATCTCATCTATGTTACAGTATATAAAATATTGTATATTGTATATATACATATATATATATATATATATATATATATGCATACAACTATATTTTTTAATGTTTATTTTAATAAACTACATTATTATTCAATAATTTATCAGGTAAAATAAAATAATTATAAGTTATTAGTTTAATAAAATATTGCTTATATTTATTCATTGCCAAGAAATATAAAATTTAAAGAATTTTTTAGAAAGAATCGCAACATATAATAAGCGCTAGAAATCTCGAAGAATCTCGTTGCAATATAGGATTCTGTTTTCAGCAACTTCAGGCAAAATAAATGCTAACTACATTTAACGTTACGATGAAAACGCTTTTAAATTTAAAAAAAACATGTGTAAACGTTAAAATTATTTTCTTTTAATCTTATTATATAATTAAAATAAAATAAAGGAAGTAATATTTTCTGGGTAATATATGAATATAGTAAAAAAAATGTAGTAAAAAAGTTAACGGTGATGCAATGTTTATTAATTAAAATTGTTCATACAGCAGTATTATAATAGTGCAATAGGAACAATCCAAAAATAATACATTTGGTGTTATATTATAAATGGCCCTATTATTTACAAGCATGTGGGATTCAACAATGTTTTTGAGCACCTTAACCCCAAAATTTTATGTTGCACTCACTGGAACGTCATCCTTAATTTCTGGATTGATTCTGATTTTTGAATGGTGGTATTTTAGAAAATATGGTACATCTTTTATTGAACAAGTGTCTTTAAATCATATTTCACCATGGATTGGTGGAGGTGACAGTGGATCAGATGGAAATAATTCAAGTTTAAATGGTTCAAATTCAAATCAACAAAATGTTCCAGAATGTAAAGTTTGGCGGAATCCAATAAATTTATTTAGAGGGGCAGAATATCAAAGATTTTATTGGGCTACAAATAAAGAACCATTAACATATTATGATATGAACTTATCTGCTCAAGATCACCAAACATTTTTTACCTGTGAAGGTGACACAGGTAAATCTTATATAAGAAATATTAAGGAGTTTTGAAAAATTAAATATTAACAGTTTACTTTTAATAGGTAAAGCTGAATATGAAATTATGCAAACTGCATGGAGAGAACGTAATCCAGTAGTTCGAATAAAAGCTGCACACAGTGCTCTTGAACGTAATCCTGATTGTGCACCTGCATATATTTTACTTGCTGAAGAAGAAGCTACCACTATTGTAGAAGCAGAAAAAATTTTAAAACAAGCCTTAAAAGTAGCAGAAAATAATTATAGAAAATCTCAAAGTACTCAACATCAAGGAGCCATTGCAGAAGCAATACACAGAAGAGATACAAATGTATTAATATATGTTAAACGAAGATTAGCTATGTGTGCAAGAAAATTGGGGAAATTAAAAGAAGCAGTAAAAATGTTTAGAGATTTGACAAAGGAAGTTCCACCAATTATGAATGTGCTAAACATTCATGAAAATTTAATTGAAGCTTTATTAGAAATGCAAGCATATGCAGATGTTCAAGCAGTATTAGCAAAATATGATGATATTAGTTTACCAAAATCTGCAACTATTTGTTATACAGCTGCATTATTGAAAGCGCGAGTAGTTGCAGATAAATTTTCAACAGATATTGCTAGCAAAAGAGGTTTAACTACTCCAGAAATGATTGCAGTTGAAGCTATTCATAGGGCAGTTGAATTTAATCCTCATGTACCTAAATATTTATTAGAAATGAAACCATTAATTTTACCTCCAGAACATGTATTAAAAAGAGGAGATTCAGAAGCAATTGCATATGCATTTTTTCATCTTGCTCATTGGAAGCAAATGGAGGGTGCTCTTAATTTATTACATTGTACATGGGAAGGTACTTTTAGAATGTTGCCTTATCCTTTAGAACGAGGACATTTGTTTTATCCATATCCAACTTGCACAGAATGTGCAGATCGTGAATTGCTACCATCATTTCACGATGTTAGCGTTTACCCTAAAAAGGAGTTACCGTTTTTTATTTTGTTTACAGCGGGTTTATGCTCCTTTACAGCACTCTTAGCTCTCTTAACGCATCAATATCCTGATACTATGGGTGTAGTCGCACGATCGATGCTTGCCTGGTTTTCTCATCCATTTTATTACATTTTAGACAAATTAGAAGCAATTTTACCTTCTAATTTATTACAACAGCTTTCTAGAATATAAAACAGTCTAAGATCTCTGATCATTAGACTGCGAATGTTTATATAAACGTATATCTTTATAAGAAATAAATAGAATAATAGAATAACAAATAGAATAAACAAAAATTTGTTGTTTTATTAAAGGATTTAAAAAATATAAATGTAAAATATCTATTTTACATTTTATATGCATATTTATTACATATATGCATATATGCATATTTTTTGCATATTCAATGCACGTTCAACTGTATATCTATATATATATATATATATATATATATATATATGTATATATATATAATATATATATATACACATACTATATATATATANATATATATATATATATACTATATACTATA